TCGACTACCTAACACTTTCCCTTTCTTCCTTTATCCGAGTTTGGACCAGCAATGTAAGATAAACTTACACAAGCGGAGTTAGTGGAATAAGGCTTTGTTGTTGTTGTTGAATTCTTTTTCTACTAAGGAAATTTGTTTCGTATTTTGACAAGGTCTTATTCAATTCCTTCATAATGTAATGTAAGTTGGATTTGACTTCTTAATGGCTTCTTTACCGTTAAATCGATTCATTGTATGCGCCCCAAATTCAGATCAAATCCTCTTTGATCACCTTGTTCTTGGAAAAAATAAGAATTGCAATTTAATAGGTGAAGACAGTTTAACTGGCACAATTTCCATCGTGCTCCTCTTTATACTCTTTTGGGGTGAGACATGAGAATGAGTAAACCCTACAACTGAAAAAAGGCAAAAACAAAAGAATGTTATATATAGGCAAAAGTTAGAGAGAACTTTTGCTAGAGACATGAGTGAAGCAGGTGCAATGTATCACACTGTTTATTTTCATAACTATAAAACAAAAGGATTACAAGTAAAGAGAGGAAGAAATGGGTATTGATATTATTGCTTTCACTCTTTTCTTTTCTGTGTGTTGTGATTATACACAAAATGCTCCTTATATAGAGCTATATCCATTACGAATCATAAAAATGAAATGAGTGCATTTTGAAAAACATTATACAACAACAACAATGCTACTATTCTTAAGTTTTCCTCACTTTTCATCTTTGGCTAAAACATGTGGACATTCATTCCCACAAATTTTACAACACTCCCTCTTGGATGCCCACGTATCAAAATCAGTTGCCTCATTAAAACCTGGCTAAGAAAGACCCAATGGGAAAAATCTTAGTCGAAGGAAAAAGAGTACAACATACATGTATCATGGATGCTCCTCTTGATATGTATCTCCCCCTGATCCCGCATTCTTCAAATTTAACTGATTGGTAAGTCGACGTAATCTGATATCATGCACTAGCTTCTAAAACGTACACTTTGGTAAAGATTTGGTGAATAGGTCTGCCAGATTTTCATTGGAACTGATCTGTCTGACGTCAATAATTTTAGCCTTCTAAAGCTTATGTGCACTGAAAAACTTTGGAGATATGTGTTTAGCCTTATTGCCCTTGATAAATCCTTCCTTTATTTGGGCAACACACGCTACATTATCTTCATGAATGATAGTTGGAGTGCCTATCTCAGAAGGTAGATCACATGAATTTCGGATGTGGTGGATCATTGATCTTAACCAAGAACATTCACAACTGGCTTCGTGTAGAGCAAGTATTTCTGAGTGATTGGAAGATGTAGCAACTAATGTTTGCTTTGTTAAGCACCATGAAATTGTTGTATTTCCATATTTGAACACATATCCAGTTTGTGAGTGGGCTTTATGCGAATCAGAGAGAAAACCAACATCTACATATCCAACAAGGTTCTGGTCATTTGTGGATTTCTCAAAGTAGAAAAAACCCATGCCTGTTGTCCCATGAAGGTATCGTAAAACATCTTTGACTCCCTTCCAATGGTAAATTGTTAAAGCAGAGTTATACCTTGCTAACAAGTTGGATGAAAAAGCTATATCTGGTCTAGTTAATTGTGCTAAATACAATAAAGCACATATTGCACACAGATATGGTACTTCTCGACCAAGGACTATTTCATCATCTTCTTCTAGAAGAAATGGATCTTTCTTAATGTCCAAAGGACAAACGACCATTGGCGTGCTTAGTGGATAAGCCTTGTCCATGCTAAATCGCTTTAGGATTTTTTCAATGTAAGCTAATTGATTGACCAAAATTTCATTAGCACAATGCTTGATCTGCAGGCTGAGACAATTTTTTTTTTCCCTAAGGTCTTTCATTTCAAATTCACTTTTCAGATATTCAGCAATTTTATTGAGCTCTTGAGGGGTTTTAACTAAGTTCATATCATCGACATATATTGTCACTATAGCAAATCTAGAATTTGATTTTTTAATGAACACATAAGGGCAAATGACATTATTGGTATATCCTTCTTTGATCAAATACTCACTAAGACGATTATACCACATTCGTCTAGATTGTTTCAACCCATATAATGATCGCCTTAATTTCATTGAAAGCATACCTTATGGTTTGTTAGTCATTTTAGGCAACTTAAGTCTTTCTGGGACATTCATATACATGTCAGTATTTAATTCTCCATATAGATATGCGGTGATGACATCCATAAGTTGCATTTCAGGTTTTTCTAAAACCACCAAACTTATTATGTAACGGAACGTAATTGCGTCCATTACAAGATAGTATATCTCCTCATAATCAATTTCAGGTATTTGTGAAAAACCTTGTGCAACTAGTTTTGTTTTATATCTTGCAATCTCGTTTTTCTCATTGCGCTTTCTTGTGAGTACACATTTGTAACCCATGAGGTTTACTCCAGGTGGGGTTTGAACTACTGGTCCAACAACACTTCGCATTTCCAATGAATTTAATTCTACCTAGATTGCATCTTTCCAATTAGGCCAATCTTGTCTATGTTTGCATTCATCAACAGAGCGAGGCTCAATCTCATCGCTTAATATGATTTAAGTGGCTACTGTGAATGCAAACATGTCGTCGATCATTTCGACCCCACAAACCATTATTATATGCATAATTTAAGGAGATTTCTTTGCTTTCATGTATTTCTATCTCTTTATGGACATGTGTCTCATCAAGGACATTTTCTTTTTTTGGAAGTACAGAATCATGAATTGTGGGTTCGTCATTCATTTTCTTTTCCTAAATGATTTCATTTGGATTTAGTTATGCCCTTATTTTCCTCGTTTGAGGGGCTGAATCTTTTGAACCTAGGGGTCTACCACGCTCAGGCGTGTAACAGAACAATCATTCGCTACCATTTTATTTTGTCCAACAAGGACATCAAATCTTGCAAGCGTATTTTTAGCTGGTATATGTGATTTTGTCACTTTCGTACCATTAGTAAGTGTATCTGGCATTTGATTAGCAATACTTTGAAGATGAACAATCTTTTTTACTTCTTTTCGCATTAAGTGCTTCATGGATCAAAATGAGATAAGATGGGTACAACCCATGTCAATTCTTGTTGCTCTTCTGGACCAATATGTTCTTCCCTTAACAGCGGGAAAACTGTCTCATCAAAGTGACAATCTATAAAACGAGCTGTAAAAATATCACATGTCAAGGGTTCCAAATATTTAATGACAAATGGTGAATGAAAACCCACATAAATTCCCAGTCTGCACTGAGGTCCCATTTTAGTGTGTTGTGACGGTGTAATAGGCACATAAACAACACAACCAAAAACTCGTAAATGTAAAATGTTTGGCTAATCCCCAAACACGAGTCATAATGAGGAGTATTAATGGTTGGCTATAGGTCTCAATTGAACCAATGATGTAGCATGTAAGATGGCATGTCTTTATGCAGAAACTGGCAATTTTGTTTTCATGAGCAGAGCGCGAGCTATTAACTGAAGCTGCTTGATAAATGCTTCTGCTAAACCATTTAGAGTATGGACAGGAGGCAAACATGTGACCATCGAGTAGATGCATCAACCAAAACCATAAAATATCGAAATGGTCCACAAGGTGGTTGAATAGGCCTATAAATATCCCCTTGAATTCTTTGCAAAAATGATGGGGATTCAGCACCAATCTTTAATTGTGATGGTCTAATTACCAACTTCCCTTGAGAATAAGCCTTGCAAGGGTTATCATTTGATATAACAATGTGTTTGCTCAATAATGGATTTCCATTAGAGTTGGTAATAATTCTACACATCATGGTGGATCCGGGATGACCCAGACGGTCATGCCAAAGCATGTAAATTTTTGGATCAATGAACTTCTGGTTCATGACAGTATGTGCTTCATTTATCTTTATGTATGTATAATACAATCCACTCGATAAACCACCCAACTTCTCCAATGTACACTTTTGAGTATCATTAAAGATAATGCATAAATATTCCACTTTTTCTGCACTTTTCGATTCAATGTTGTATCCATTTAAACATATGTCTTTAAAACTCAACAAATTTCGAGTAGATCGAGTAACGTACAATGCATTTTGTATGGACAATATTGTTCCATTTGGTAACATGATATGGGCTTTTTCTGAGCCTTTAATTATATCTGATTAGCCTGATATTTTTGTTACATTTACTTTTGTAAGCATCAAGCTTGAGAAATATTTTCAATCTTGAAGTATTGTATGCGTGGTTGCACTGTCTACAAGACAAATATCTTCGACATTGCTCTTGTTTTGAGAATAACCATAGTTTTTATCCATGCTTTCTGAGTAAGCGAATCATAATTAAAATCAATTTATTCATAAAAAAAGGAAATTGAAATGCCACTTTTATTGAATTAAAATACGAGCTTTAAGCTACAAGTTCAGATAATATAACAAGAGTACATTAAACATAAAAATGATTCAATCAGACTGATATGCTTCATTCCTTCTTTCCACAATAAAGTTTGAAACATCCAGGTATGTTGTGTTCAATTGGCCTGATAAATTGAACACTGGATTAGGTATATCCATTGGTTTAGCCTTGTTGATGAAATTGGTTTCGACATTCTTCTCCTTGAGGAAGGCTTGATACAAGTCCATTAAATGTTTTGGGGTACGGCAGGTACATGCCCAGTGCCTATTACAACCACACCTGTGGCAGACTCCTTCGGGATTACTATGAGTGTTATTCATATGAGCTTTACCCTTGTGATGATTTACATTTTTGAAGCTTGGGTCTAGATTATGCATTGGACCCTGGTTGTAAAACCGAACACCATGATTCTTGCCTTTTCCATTCCACTAGCCTCGCTTATGGGCACATCCTTGTTTGTAATTATTTCCACGAGAGGATGTAGTGTTCACTTTGAGGGAATAAAAATTCACTTCTAGGAATGGTGCAAATCCAATAGGTCGGGACTGATGATTTTTCATAAGGAGCTCATTGTTATGTTCAACCACAAGGAGCACTGATATCAACTAGTTGCACTCAGTAAAGCCTTGTTCTCCATACTGCTGCTGAAAGAGCACATTGGAGGCATGAAAAGTACTGAAAGTCTTTTCCATCATATCTTCCTTAACGATAGTCTCCCCACAAAGTTTCATTTGGGACCTAATTCTGAATATTGCAGAGTTATACTCACCAACCATCTTGAAATCCTGGATTTTTTAAGTGTGTCCACTCATAACGAGTTCTTGTTAGAATCACCGTTTTCTGGTGATTGTATCTATTCCTCAATGCTTTCCAGATGGCTAATGGATCTTCAACCATTAGGTATTCCCTCTTCAATCCTTCATCAAGCTGGCAACGGATAAAGATCATAGCCTTCACCTGATCTTGAGAGGATGTATTGCTTCCCTCCTTGATGGTGTCTCCAAGGTTTCCTGCCTCCAAATGGATCTTAGCATCCACTACCCAAGTAAGGTAGTTTTTTCCAGTAATATCAAGGGAAACAAAATCAGGCTCTGCCAAGTTTGCCATTTTCTTTTTCTGAAAGAAAAATAAGATGTGTAAGAATTTTGCAATAATATGTATTTTGGAGAAATGTAGTGTTAGAACTTATAGTTCTTACTAATTTTTCATTTTGATCTTCAAGCCAAAACGATAAGCACTCGAAACTTCAAGCTCGAGATTTACATAATTTAGGCATTAATTAAAAAATTATTAGGTAGTTAGTAATACTCCATACACAAGCACTGCTATCAGTATTAGTACTACTACCACGAAGAAAGAAAACTAATGAGGAAGGTGATTGTGCACTTTCATTGAAATAATATAGCGTAGGATAGGCGATTATACCACACCACTCAAGTAGCAGGAAAATTCAAATATGCAGAGCAAGATGGGCGGTTATACCACACCACCTAAAATTGCAGTAAAATTAAATTTGTAGCTCAAGATGGGTGATTGTATTGCACCATCAAAAATTGCAATAAAATTAACATAAATAAACACTAGGTTAGTACTCAGGAGCTACACCAAACAAGAAATAAAAAAAAATATAAGTAATTGTTATATTGAGAACTAGGAGAAGGCATGGTGCTAGTAGTTCTTGGCGATGGTACATCAAGCATGTGAGGTAGATGAGGGAAAAACACAGTAAGATCCTTGGAGGAAGCATTTTTCGGCAAAGAGAAATGAGAACTGGTTAGGGTTAGAGAGTCATATTGATAACGTGTTATAAATTGGCAAAAGTGAGAGAGATAACCTTTGATAGAGATAGGAGCGAAGCGGGTGCAATGTATCACACTATTTATTTTCGTAACTATAAGACAAAAGTATTGCAGGTAAAGAGAGGAAGAAATGAATATTAGTATTATTGCTTTCACTCTTTTCTTTTCTATGTGTTGTGATCATACACGAAATGCTCCTTATATAGAGTCATATCCGTGAAGAATCATAAAAATGAAATGAGTGCATTTTGAAAAACATCATACAACAACAATAATGTTACTATTGTTAAGTGTTCCTCACTTTTCATTTTTGGCTAAACCATATGGGCATTCATTCCCACAACTTTTACACAAATATCATATAGTGCATCTATTTGGTGTTTTGTTTGTTATTTGATTTGGAGGGTACTTTGGTCTTTTGATGTGAATATTTGCTATTTTTATTAAAAACTGACAATTATAAATTTAAAAGTCAAATCTTGCTATAAACGATAAATTCGCAAAATATAACCCTAATTTTATAAATGTCAAATCTTGGCTATACTCGAGTAGACTTGAATATACCAAGACTACACTGCCCTTTACCAAGTTGGGGGAATCACTACCCTTTTCTTAGTTCTTAGCGTCCTCCATGAAGGAGGCCGTGAGTATTGTTTGTATTTCGGACATTTTCATGGTATTGAAATTTTATCTCTGAAGATTGAACAAATCAACGATGAGAGTGCTGTTTAAGCATCTACGTATATATGTTCCACCTTTTACTTGACCTATGATATATGGGTGGTTATCACATGTAGCACAGTGAGTTATATTAGTTGGCAAACTCATGTCAAAAGTCATGGTTACATTAAAAGGTAGAATGATTTGAATAATAGTTTGACTAGTATTTTAGTCTTGTCGTGCTAAAATCGGCACTCATTAAAATTAAAATAGGTCTCTTCTTAACATTGTGAATGCATAAAATAACAATGTTTGAGTTGCCTTTGTTTACAACATATTCATTCTAACTATCATTGTTTTATGAGATTTGAGCTTGTCACTTATTCTTATAAAGTGAAGATTTAATGTCATTAGGACTTTATAATATACGACACGAAGAGGTACAAAAATTTAGTTTTTGGGTTAAGTCTTATCGAGTTCGGTTGCAGTAGGTCAACTTATTAACTAACTAGTTGGTTTAATGTCATCAATGGATACTCGTTAAGGTAAACAAATAATCTCACATATCTCCCTCTATCAATTTGTGTCAAACTCATTTCGACGACCCTCGGAAGTAACTAATGACACAAAACAACTCCTGTAACCTGTTAATCTAACGAGTTAGAATTTAACACAAAGCCACAGCAAACAAGAGTGACATAGCCGTTATTAGTGTATTATTGTTGCACAGAAATAAATGCAATGATCCAAATGTACTTGTGCTCAACTAGACGGTCAACTTTAAAGGGCGTCAAGAATTCCACATAATCAATGTCCATGATGGTTCCATCAGCTTACACGTTTGCGTGTCGGTCTATGTGTTATTAATTTGCGTCGGAATATAAATATATGAGTTGGTGGGGATACTTCCAAACATACAATTATTCAGCGACTGAACAAAGAAAAGAAAAGGTTTCTTTATATATAACTTCATGAAATATTTATTTTCTTGACAAAAACCTATCTCGTTTTAAACATTTAAATAAAATTCAAATTTGAAATAAACTGCCATGTAAACAAATAGATACCTATTATTTTTAAAATATTTACAATTATGCCACAACACCCTAATTATGTTGATGAATTTAATTATCCACCATAATTATGGCAAATAAGTGCTTTATTATTACAAAAGTATCTATTTTATACTTATTTTGCATGTATATATTAGGTACATTCTGTTATTATTATATCTGTGTGAAATAAATTACTTATATTGTTTAGTAGAATATTGGTAATTAATTAACTTTGAATCAATTGGCTGAAAACATCTTTTTATTTTGTAGGTAAATAATTTTGCATGTATTATTACATATATTAGGCACATTTGTTATTATTACGTGTTGTTTGCAATCAATCAACATTCATTTATTCTGTAGGTAAATTACAAAAGTATCTACTTTATACTTGTCTTACCATCATCTGTACCATTTCATATATTTGTTTGACAATCATTGTAGGTAAATTATTTTGCATGTATTGTCACAGCCCGTTCCCGATTTTACGAAAATGCACTAGAGGTGAAGGGTTTTTGACTTTCGTTGACCAACGTATAGTGAGAAGTACGAATTATTTCAGCGTATTCCTGAAGTACTCGTCAATACGAGCAGAAGAGGATTTGGAGTTACGGTTAAAGTTTTACAGAACTCTAACCTAAGAAGTACTTTTACTTTGGTTAATATATATATATGTATATATATATTATATATAAGTATTATTATTTTATTAGTTGTTATTAGAATTAGAAATGGGAAAAGAAAGAGGAAGGCATCGGGAGGAAAGGAAACAGAGGAAAAAGAGAAAAAGAGAAATTGGCCAAAGCTGCCCAATCAGAGAAGAAGAAGAAGAAGAGGTCGAATGGGGAGAGGAAAGAGAGGGGCTAGACCAATCAGAAAGCAAGAAAGGAGGGAAAGGAGAAGGGAGAGAAGCGGGGGGAAAAAAAAGAAGAAACGGGTTTTCCCCAACCCGTGTACCTGCGCACCCATATCTATTTTTCCGACGATTTTCACCGGATTTCTCACAAATTGGATCAAGGTACCACTCCCAATCAACACCTATACCTTCCCTCTTCATGTTTCACCCCAAAAATCTTGAAATTTGGTGGTGGTTTGGTGAAAAACGCACCTGTGGGTGCCGCGAGTTTGTGTTCGAAATCCTCCAGTTTTTGAAGCAATTTCTTCCAATCATACCACCCCTAGCTTCCTTCTAAGGCCTAAAACAACGCCCAAGCATTGGTTGGGACGGCGGAGTTGATTTGAGGACGAATTGAAACTCACCCAATTCTAGGGTTTCGCACGGATTTGAGCAAATTGGAGCCTTTCCAGGCCAAATTGGCCTTGGCCTCAGGGATAAAGTTTACTCCACTCATTGAGATCTTCATTTCTGTCAGCGGCGCGTGCGGCGGCACGTGGCCAGTGGGCCCCCAATTTTATTTTTAAGCTATATTTGATGTCCTGAGTTCAGTTTTGATAGTGGCTTAACGTTGGTTGATCATTTGGACTTAATTTCGATACGATTCATGGTTAGGCCAAAAGGTAAATTGACGATCCAACCGTCGGATCGTCACCACACTTTGATATGTAGTAGTACGTAATATTTGAAGAATGTAGGAACTTATGGATCGGGAATGTGATGAACGGATCTTCCCGAATTGGATTTGTAAGTTCATAAAATAAAATGTTAACCGCCACTTAGTTTTGGAAATTGGCGGAGATCCAACCGTCGGATTGTAACGAAATTTTAGTATATTGTTCTAGAAGCTTAATGTGTATCTTGGGAAGTGACGGATCAGAAATCTGAGTTGTGAATCTTCCAGATTGAGTTATTTGGGGTTATGACCCTACCGTCTAACTTAGTCGATGGTTGACCTTTGATCAATGGGTCTCGCATTATTCTTGAATGCCCTTGAGGATATGTGTTATGTGAATTACATATTCTATGAATAAGAGTTTTGAGATGTGGTTTGATAATTGTTTTAGGCACCGAGCGTTCGGGACGCCTTGGTTCTGATGTTAAGGAGTCGTAGCGCGGACCCCAGGTGAGTGGGCAGTTATTTTCTGTATATACCTATATACTATTGATTTTTCCCAGAAATTGAATTTAAATGAAGTATGTTTTAAAATTCCATGCATGCATAATATATGAAATATATGAATTAGTATTTGATGCATATATATGAAATGGTGTTGTGGACGCACAGGTGAGTATCAAGTGGGTTTTATGTTGTTCATGTGATTTATTGATGATGTAAATTGTGTTGAGAGCTCATAACCTACACCCCTGGTGTTAGTGCTTATATTATTCACCCCGCACCACACGCTCACCTTGGATCCAAATAAGTGCATGTCATACAGACCATTAGAAGTGGTTCCGACATGTCGTACAGACCATTAGAGGTGGTTCCGACTTGTAGGTGACTTTAGATTATTATATAGCTGTTGATGAGAGAAGCACTAGAGCGTATTCTTACACCATTCTTGTCGTATAGACTACTTCAGGTAGTTCCGATTTATGTGCATAGTAGCGCCGTACAAGTCACAGTTGGTGACTCCAGTTGGATTTGATATTGAGCTATAGAATTAACCGTACAGGACAACTGCAGGGTCTCCG